TACCTTGAATGACCATCGCATTTCTTTGATTTCCGCGGTGACAACCGCACCGCTATGAATTAGAGAGATGTCTTAGTGCCAGTGCACCTAAGTCAGGTACCCTATGAGTGGTTTGCGCACTTGATGTTCGTCGCTTCCTCCCAATGCCCCGTCTTTCGTCGTGGCGCGAGTGTTGGAAGAAGTAGACCTTGTTCCTTGTTGTTCTTGCTCTTGTTGCACCGATAGCCCACACTGTTCGATCCCGTCTTGCCCGTGACGATCGGAACAAAGATCGGACTATTCCCTTTTGTTAGCGAAGCTATGGTCTATGTCGTACCTCGGACCCGTGCGTGTCGACCCGATCGACCGTCTAAAACCATCTTTCCCGAAGATGTGTCTGGGAACATAACATGGATCTGCCTAGCTAACCTCGCTGCTTTTGCCGTGTTGAACGACTATCTCCTTGGCTCCCGATGTTGATATGTCGTGTGGATCGAGAGGACCCGTCGCTGTCCAACCTCTTTGTGCTATCGCTTCCTACCATAGTGGGTGAGCCAAAGTACATTGGAGCCAAGTCACAATAGTGTTATTCATTCTTGTATGCTTCTCATGTCCAATTGTGACTTGCGGGATAAGGCTATAAGAGCTGAACCCCGTCGTTCCTCTTCTTGGGGCCCGACTTCCAATCCCCATCGATTCAATGACACCGGATCGGGAGATCGTGAGCCGTGGTGTGCTATGGATAAGCTTTGGCTTAAACCATCTATCCTAAAGCCATACCGGCTTGGCCATGACTTAAACTTGTGCTTAGCAAACTACCATTTGTGATTCTTTGGCCCGAGGAAATCGGACAACCGCCGAGAGGGCTAAGCCGTGTATGTCTTATTGCCTCACTGGTGTTATTGGATTTTCCTGCGTCTTGTCGTCTTTTCAAGTGTTGAGTGATCTCTTGCCTTGCGTGTTGCTTCACGGAGTGGCTGACGATCGGACCAAGAGAACGAGGACGACGACAAGGACTACGGAATGGAGTCAACACAGGAGGAGGTGACTCCGCTAATGGAACACCAACAAACGGGGAATTGAACCACTACTACCTCTACATCGTAGGTGTCATGGCAGCATCCTCTTTTAGAGAATCCTATTAGACATTGCATAATATCTAGAACTGCTAGCGCTTTATAATTATTCCTTTGCTAGAACTTTGATGCATGCTACTACCTGAGCCATTATGACCATGATGCAACCCACCCTACCACGTCACCCTGCTTTGCGCATTCGCTCGCTTATATATGCTTACTTGCCTGCTTGCTTGCATATTACACCACTTTACTTATTATTAACTCCACTTCGCATTATATCGGGGATGTGATGCTGGTGGTGCACCCCCTAGGAATGGTTTGGCTATGGGTGCCGGACTTGGTGGTGTGTGAGCGTGCTGCATGTGTCTTGGGTGCGTGGAGAGTGAGGGTTGTGTCGACCGAGCTGGAATAACGACGAGCCTAGGGCGAGTCTTGCCATGTGGTGCTACCTGGGCACTTGGATATGGAATACCTGTGGCGGGTAAATGGTAATTGGAGGTGGCCTTGGGTGTGAACCTCAAAGAGGTGGAGCCTGGGGTAGAGGTGTTGTGGTGGCACGGTAAATGAAAACCCTGATGAAGACATTCTGGCTTGATCACCCCTAAGGACTTACTAGTACTCAGATTCACCGGGAATCCTTTATATCCCACTCGCCCTATATGGTGCGGGACGGTCGGACTACTTGGTAGAGCGATGCCACTACTGCTAGGCGAACGTGTGCAAGGAGGTACGGGGTGCGCGGTTCTCCCCCCACACCCTTCTGAGACTTCAGGAGGCCTTGTGGACCGGCTCTTGACATCCGGTGGGCCCTGGCTCTGTCTACGACTCACAGTATCAGCCATCCCAGATTAGACTTGGGATGTTCCAGGGCTGAGAGGTAGGGTGGCATCGTTCTAGGCTAGCAAGCGGTCGGAATATGCCTAGACGGGGCACCGTCGAGGATGGCTATCTTGTGAGTATGTAAAACCTCTACAGAGTGTTTGGTTGATCGATCGATACATATGCCGACTTGTCGGCTATGGACCTTTCCTGGGTTTCGCTTAAACTAGATAGGAGATGAGTCCTTCTATTCTCCCTCTAGGGTTTGGGGTATTTTCCGGTCATGAGCCTTGGGGCTGCGGACCATTGAGGCAAGGCCAAGAGGGAGTTGGCCTGTCGACCTGAGTGTGTGAGATGAGATAAGGTGTGTGGTGTGGTGTGGAGATGGTTTGGGATGGATGGTTGGTGGATGGATATGGATGGAGGTGGATGTGTGTGGCTGGGAATATGTTAAAAACTGGACATTATTATTACATTACTACTGTTACTTACTTCTCATGCGCTAAGGATGTAAACCACAGCCAAATGTTAGGATCGCCAGATCCTCTTATTTTATCTTTTCCACTAAAGCTCATCGGTGCTGACCATGGCCTGCACACATCTAGCGGTGTGCAGATTTCCTGTTTCTCAGAGATGCTGACTATAGAAGGATTAGGAGGTCTCGTGCCTACGCTCAAGTTTGGTTCGGAGATGGAATCTACGCTGCACTACGCCAACTCTGATGACGATCCACGAAGGAGAAGCCTTCACTCGATAGTCTTCCGCTAGATTAACTCTGTAATAGGTGTGTTCCCCAGTGATGTAATATCCTGTATTCTTATAATCTTACGATGTATGACTGAGATATCGACTGATATACGATAATATGATGGAATCAACTATTGGTTTCATCATATTATAATTCATTCTGTGGATTTTCTCTTCGCGGAAATTTGAGGATGTTTCAGGAACGGGGAAGGCCGGAAGGGCAGGGGCGGACACAGTAAGGCCCCTTTTTATTTTTTATATTTATTTTTTCTTTTGAAGATATCAGGGTGTTCGGCTGGTCATGTTATGGATTGTTTCAGCTTATTCTCTCTCACAGAATACTATTGAATCATCTAAAACCATCCGAAATCCACTGTGCAGTCTACCAGCCAAACACGCTGTTCATTTGCCGGGGATCGGCGGAATTTCGTAACGGTGCCTGGACGTTTTGACCGAACACCCCGCGCTGCATTCTGTTTTCCGCGCTTGGGCCAACACGCCCCGGTCCAAACCTGCATTTCGCGCTCCCACACGAGGCCCATGCCACCGGATGACGCCCGCGCCGCCAGGGACTGCTCCCACTCCCCCCCGGTCATTTCTCACAAGTATTGCAACATGTGCAATACCCGATCTACTTTTGTAACATCTAAATGAAACGCTTGCAACATGCGTCCCAAAACAGCTGAAACAATTGCAATATACGTCTAAACACTTGCAAAACACAAAACAAAACTTGAAAAAACGTGTGTAGTCATTGCAAACATATGCAAAACATCAAGATGAAACACCAACATACATATGAAAAACACATGAAACACTTGCATATATCTGCAATATCCCGATCTAGTTTTGCAACGTCCAAATTAAACACTTGAAACATACTATGAAACAGATGAAACATTTAGAACGTACAATTGAAACATACGTGTATAGCCCATTGCAATATGTGCAACATCCCGATCTACTTTTGCAACATCGATATAAAACACTTGCAACATCCTCTAGAAACATCTGAAACACTTGAAACATACTCATTGCAGCTGGGCTTGTCGTTACGGAGCCCAATGCCGACGCAGAGGTCGGCTGCGGCGCATGGAACTCGCCGGTGCGACAGCGGCGTGGAAAACTTGCCGGTGGGGTGGCGTCACAGAAGCTCCTCTCCTCGCAGCATCCAGTAAGGCGGCATGGGCGCGACACTGGAGACGATAAGCCACGTGGTGCCAAACCAGAGGAGGCACACGCTGGCGCCGATGAGGAGTAGCGTGGGGTGGAGCCGGTTGCAAACGACCCTCAGGCGACCCCGAGCAGCGCGAGGCGGCTCGGTGCCGAGTGAGACCTTGAGCGCGTGCGTGGAGCTAGCGCCGCCCGCGACGTGCACCCACACGCCCGCCTCAGCCCCAGCCACGGCGCCCGGCTCCCCGCATCTCACTCGCCAAGGGGAGCACCAGAGCAGCGTGCGCGATATATAGTTTAGACATACTGCGAGGCTATGAGAGAGGTGCGGTGCATGGTGGAGACAGGACCACGTATGTGCATTTGCCACAGGCAGGTTGTTTTGGGCCGGTCCACAAGCCCAGCAAGCAAGCGTTCGGACGGACAGACACCCTAACCAAAGCATTACCGATTTCGTAAAGTTTATTCAACACCAGTCCACTGTTTAGAAGAAATGAGATGATGCCGGATAAAACGTAACGAAGACAAAACATAGAGGCTTTCAGATTTTCGTTTTTATATATCCTGAATGAAAGAAAAACTACGCAAAGACCAGTGTATTCCTTCCTTTTTCCTTTTTGCCCTGATGGCAGTAGAAACATGCAAGATACTGTAGGCAGGCCTATTGTTTCTTTTGCCTTTTTCCTTGCGTTTATATGCATATATTCACCTTTTGCCCTGACTCAACAATCAGCATGCAATGTACTGTACCATGAACAGCTTATGAAAGCAAAAACAGAAAACAGGTGGTTAGCCTGTGGTCCAATCTTGTTTCTGCTCTTTGGTCCCAACTGTGAACAATATTCATCGTTGTTTTTGTTTTATAAGTTCCACTTTTGCAGTGCATTGGTCTTGTATCAGCTTCGTATATATAACTTAACATTTGGAGGAGGACAAAACTTCGATAAATTGGATCCCAATTCATCGGTTATTACATTGGGAAGTAATGTCTAGCCACAAATGAATGAGTCTTGTACACCAATTTTCTGACAGAATAAACAAAGCAAACATCTTCAGGACCTTAGCATCATATAGGCGACATCCATTCATCGACTCTTCAAGACCTTAGCATCATATAGGCAACAGTTAAGTGCGCGAGGCTAAACTTTAAAGTGAGTCCAGTTCACATGTTTGCGTTGCAGTAGCTATGTGATGAAGCTTTTATCAAACTGTGAATATCTGCAGCAATAAAGATATCATCACACCAATGGTTGAGTCAAACCTTAAGCGCTGGGTTCATGTTCAGAACATCTTCTGCATGGACAAAAGGGATTTAATTGCACACCACAAGAAAATGATGCAAAAAGACAGTACTCGCCTTATAGATTCAGATATTGATGTTGGGAAACGTGTTCAAAGTTTGGAAAGAAAAAGCCAAAATGGTGAGACAAATATGGCACTAGATACCTTCCGGGTGTCAGCATACTCCTCTCAAGTTCTTGTAGTCCTCATAACTAAGAAATTTATCCTTAATTTTGAGCCAGTCAGCTGGTTTCGGCTGGAAGATTGCTATATATCCTTCCCTGTCAGCCTAAATGCAAAAAGGGCAAAAAATAAATGAAGATGTGTGATGCCCAGTATTTGGTAAAGAAAACAAACATCGAATTGAAAAAGCAGCAAAAGTCTCGAATTAATATCCTATCTTAAACAAAAAAGCCTAGAGCACAACTAGAACAGAAAAGGAGATCATATAGTAAGCACACAAAGAGTCAAAGAAATAGAGGAAATTTGCCAGACAACAGGATGTACTCACAGCAGTATTAAGAAGATCTGGTTGTTTGATCAATCTTTCATTGATCTCCAAAAGGGAACCTTTCACGCAGCATCTGTAAAACTTTAGCATAAGCAACACTGCAGTGCAGAAAACAATAATGTCTCAGACATACTTATGTGATCTTTAAGATCAAGGGGACCAACCTCACAATAAAAGATTTATCATTTACACAAACTTTGCACAATGCTGAATTTTCTTGCAAGTGCTGTGCATTCTGCAATGTAAAATGAACATTATTTCATGCTGCCGTTTATTTAATTAAAAAAAGGGCGTACCTAGTGCAGAGAGCTCCCGCTCTGTGCGGGGTCTGGGGAAGGGTGTTAGTGGCAAGACTTACCCTCGCCTGTGCAATGCGAGGAGACCGCGACTCGAACCCGGGACCTTCCGGTCACAGGCGGTAAGACTCTACCGCTTGCAACAGGCCCGCCCTTCCGTTTATTTAATTAAAAATTAAAAATAAAAAAAACATTTAAGCAGTCTAGTTACCCTTTTGCGTTTTCCTGTGACTTTCATCTCACTGCGATCTGACTTGCCAACATTGAAGTCAACAGCGGTTATTACTCCTTCCTCTTTAAACACAACATGGGCTGGAGCTAAACCAACCACACACAATCTGAAAATTTTCAATAAAACAAAGCAACCATAAGAATAGATATTAAGGCTCATTAGAAATCTCAATGTGCACTAATCAGAAAACAGGAAGGCATTGATTGGCACTTGTCAAGAGTTGCTGTATGTAGAAAATAAATACCTAACACAAGAACAGGCCATTTATTTGCAGGTAAAAAAGTACCACGATTATGTTATGCAGCAGTGCAGCACACATTCGGCTTTCTTAGTTATACTCAGCACTTAGCATTCTTAGTATCTACAAATAATTCCCTTTGAAGAGGGACACCATAGCGAACTATTGTCAGCCTTAGATCCTCAATGTTAAAATGCAAATTTCACCAAAAGCCTCAAAAACCTGATGTTGACTTTTCGAAATTGAAAACCTACCCGTTTGGATGGCGATATACATACTGATCATACCCTGGATTCAGAAAATCTGCCCAAGAAAGCAGTATAGTGAAATTAGAGTCTTGAGGCAGACGTCTAGAAAACAGTAGAAACATTTTCTTCCCTTGGCTCAACATAACAGCATAAACTTGTCAAACATTCTAGTATGTTAAATCACTAATGCTAGAGAACCACGCTAGCCTACACAATCAGACACAGTACGCTGACAACAAAATTTTCAGCAACGGAATCCAGGATCTTATATCCTAGGAGTACTTGGAATGGGTCAACGGGCTAGAAATAACAGGTTGGATGTTGATACTGATATTCCACAGTGTCCGAGTGAATAGATTTCACCCAACAAATCAAGGTGTGCTTAATTTTAACTCTAGTTCCAAAAAATGAAACAACAGTTTTCAAGAATACACACAAAAAAAAATGACATGAGCACCGAAATATACAGCATGGCGGTTTCAAATAACAAATGTATATCCGGAGTACACAACGAATTAATTTCCCTACCCAATCATACGTGAGATTGCTAAACACTTGGCTCAGAAGACGACAATACTGTAATGAGGTAGAAGTAAGCTCCTCGAGATCCCACCTTCCATAGCCTAATGAATTTCACTCTCTATAACAACAAGCGTACCAAGAAAAGCTCAAAGCTTCCACTCTAATCAGGTACGTATGACAAAAGCCCAAGCCTTTTTTACCTGCGATGAAGTAGCGCGCGAAGTTGGCCTCGACGGCGGATGGGGGAGACGCCGGGAGGTCGGCGGCGTCGGCGGCGACGAGGGCCCGGGTCTCGTCGTCGAGGGCGGCTTCCCGCAGGGAGGAGGGTTTGTGGAGTGGCGGCGCCTCCATGGATACAGCTTCCTCTGCCATCAGTGGGGCCCTCGGTCCTGGCCGGCGACTGTCGATGCGGTGCAGAAGCAGAAGCAGAAGCAGAAGCTCCTCTTCTCGATCGTTGGCGGCGGTGGGACGCCGGGACCAGTCGGGACTGGGAGAGCGAGAGAGGAATGGGAGCAGCTGGGCCGTTACGGCGGTGACGACTGACGAGTGCAATTGAGGCGGGCGGGCGGGCATCGAGGAAGCTGGAAGCGTGGGCTTGGGCTGCCGTTACGGCCCAAGTGATGACTGCCACGAGGCTTGGGCAGATGGCTTCGTTTGATTGGCCTCTGTTTTTTTTTACGACAGCCTCTCTGTTTGCTTCAGCGAGGAGAACCGAGTCTCATACGATTAGGCCGCATATCTACCATCTACCATACTCCTTATTTTCGTAGTATACCACTTCTTGCTTCTCATGAGGCCATGTCGACGTTTAGTGTGCAGGGGGCGGCTTCGGGGTTTCTAGCGTGGGGCGGCGTCCGGTGTCCGGCCCCTCGGGCACGGTAGCTGACGTGTGACGGTGCCGGCTGCGTCGGGCGGCGGCTCTCCTCCCGTCCTCTGTTCCTCCCAGTCCCAAATCCTGATGGCGCGGTGTTTGGAAGACAGAGCGAGAGGTAAAGATGAGGAGCTTGGTGAACTAAATAAGGGAGAGGAAGAAGGGAAGACATATATATAAGAGATAAAAGAAGAGAAGTAAAACAAATAAAAGAAGAAGGAAAGAAAAGAAAGAAAGAAAGAAATAGAAGAGCCTTAGCTCGGCAGGCGTGTGAACTACCCTTAGCTCAACAAAATAAAAAATATTATAGTCATTTTACTGTTTGAACAATTAGAAAATCCGTTTATCAAACGTTTTTCTAATTAGAGAAACTGAAGAAAAAAAGAATCCACAGCTGAAATTGTTTTGGTTGAGCTCTATCACGGGTCCTAACTTCTGAACGCGACTGTAGCATAGAGTTGGGTTGCCACAATTATTGATCTTTGGAAATGGCCGTGCTAGCTACGTCTCCTTCCGTACGAAGTCATTTCTTGTTATATCTATATATAATAATATCGAACAAAATACAATCTCGGAACACAGCAGACGTGCGACCCAATCTCGCGGGCAGGCACGCCGTGCGCGTCAGACGGTAGGAGACGGCGACCAGCTGCGGGGCGCGCCGACTGCCGACGCCGGCAGGCGTGGAGGCACCACGATTCGACGAAACGGAAGCTCCATCCTCCATTGCTCACAGCAGGCAGGAAAGCAATCTGGTACGCACGCCACATATTATTACTTGTTGCAATTTCTCGTGGTCTCGGAAGATAGCTACTCGGGAAGTCTGAACTCATCGCTGCGACCACCACCACGCAAGCCTCCATCATCCATCGATACTCTAATCCGTCGACAGGAACATTTTACAGTTTTCGTTTAGGTCTCGTAACCTCATCGTCCACCTGGCGATAGTAAGTCCCGACCCCTGCTCACTTGTCCACGTCCAATACAAATCATCCTCCAGTTCGCTTATGTGTCCGCTTCCTATCCGATTCTAATATTAGATCCACGTGTCCGCGTTCAATATAATTTTTAATATTGTCTATAAATCTGCGCTGTAGATGTCAACAAAAATCTCGTGTTCGGTCATTTATTTATTGAAGCCAACAAAAATAAAAAAATTAAAAGGGAGAGAAGAAAAAATAAAGAAAACAAAACTTTGAAAGAAACTGCGAAAAAACGGTCCAGAAGAAGGCCGCCCATAAGGGTGCGCTCTATTTTTTTAAAATTGGTTTCCCCTTCCGTCTGTTGCATCCCTACTCGCATTTTGTCTGCCTCTCTCGCCCCCTCTCGCTCTCCGACGACTGGTGGACTGCCGCCGCCCTAAGCCAGGTGGTGGGGCTTTAGTTGGTCTCTTCACCGGCGACGAGCACCCACTAGGTACTCCCACCCATTCTCTTCCCTTCCCTTCAAGCTGAGCACCGAAACCCTAACCTAAAGCTATTTGATTGACAAGCCTCCTAACTTCGAAGTTTTTGCAAAAATTATTAGGTGTACATGTGTACACTCATGTCCCTTTACTGGATCCTCCCCTGGCAGGACGCCAAGGAGCGGTGCGCTATGGAGAACTACGGTGGAGATGCGACTGCAGGTTATTTTAAGCGAGCGATTAAGCTGCGGAAGCTGGAAGCAGCACCATCGTGATAAAATTAAGATGGTGTTGCGTCAATTGGAGCTGCAAACATTTGAAAAAGAGCACGATTCCTGCCCTCCTAGCTGCGGGGTCTGTGTAGAAAAGTGTGAATGTACTATCTACCGACTACCATTAAATCAATCATCCGAACCGAATGCCACTATATATGCCCATCTGTTTGAATCTATAACCCCGTCACTCTTTAACATGTTATACAATGGCACGTTTAACTGGATAAGACGCATGAGAAACCAAAACCTCGTTTTACAGGTGCTTTCACTAGTGGCCTCAAGATTGTGGAGGAGAGGGTGACAGACCCCTTCGTTTTAGGTGCCTAAAGAGCGCGAAGGGGCTAGCTAAGGCGAAGGCAAAGGTGAAGGCAAAGGTGGAGAGGGCAAATCTAATGGCGAAGCTGGCTGATGCGAATAATAAGAAAGAGGCTAAGCTGGCTGATGCTAAGAAGAAGAAAGAGGCTGAGCTAGCTGATGCGAAGAAGAAGAAGAAAGAGGCTAAGATGGCTATTATGAAGAAGACTAAGGAGAAATCAGGATCTTCTGGAGCCTAACCTCACATGGGAGCAGAAGGTGGTGAATATTCTTCAAATGGTTCACTGCCGAGAGCTCATTGAATACAATCACAAGCTGGGGTTTTCTGCTCCTACCTGCTTTTGGGCATTCAACATAGCCTTCTTTGGACAAAGAGTGTGAGTAGATTTGTGATCATTTTCATTTATCAAACATGCTCGCCTCCACTAAGTACACGCATCAATACACAAGCAACATCTTGATGCACCATCCTTAGTAATTTGTTCATCGCATGTGTCGATGGATGTACATGTATAAAATCGTATTGTTGGTTTGATTTTCATACTGTGTGCCTTAGAAACCGATCCACAAGATCCCTTCCCCTTGTCATCATTGGTTGGCTGACTCTGTCAATGTCATTGCAATCAAGGTTGCCGAGTTCGACAGGGTTTATCCGATTAGCGTATTTGGTACTATTTTGGCAAGGGACGAGTACGACTACATATGTGTCTATTTTTTCAAGCGTGGCTGGGATGATGTGTCTATTTGTTCAAGCATGGAAGGGATGATCCCCAAGTAATAACCTCAGAAGGTCTGTATCTAGTTCATTCCTCTGTTTACTGATAAATCAAAATATCATTATCCTTGACTTTACAATCCACTATGGTATACACTCCACCTTAAATAACATTTCCATATTGCTATGAACTGTTTTATTGTTGTTTTGAGATAGTTTGTCTAGTGTTCTCTTCTAAGGTTGGCACATTATGAAGTGAAATGCAGACAGTTGAGTTCCATAAGGTCTGCTAAAATGTACAATTCATTTTGTCCACACGTAACATTACTTGCAAGAGCAGTGCTGACCCTCGTGAAACCAGAGTTAAATATCCTGTGGTTGCCAGCTCCTTGCCAGGAAAATTCCTACTAACAGGTGTTAAACCATGTTGTATAAGAGAGAGAAGTATAAGAGATTTAAATTTTGGTGTAGGTAGAGGAACCACCCTTCCTCTTACCCCTTGTGCTCTATTTATAAGGGAAGTGGGAGAAGCCAATCTTCCTCTCTAACCCTTTAGGTTACAAATTACATAGAGGTCCATGCCCCTTAATTATGGTTTGGGCCTTCGGCCTTTTTTATAAGGAAAGGGTAGGCCTAGCCGTACTCACCCTCAATAGTAGCCTCCTAGCCACTAGGTTTTGGAAGTAGTGGAACTAGGGGGTAGCTCTGTGTAGCCGAAGTAATCATAGTAGTGGAAGTAGTCGTATTGGTTGTCATATTCATCGAAGGTAGACGATGTAGGAGTTATCACTGAAGGTCGATAATGATGCATTTGCCGAGGTGTGTGCAGATGGAGTAGTTGATGCAATCGACAGGGCTTGCCTCCTTTGGATCATGAGCGTCGGGCAAGACATGCCCACTGGGTTAGATTGTTTCTCTGATGCACCCACCTTAGCCCCTCTTGGCGGGTGCTTATGAGCGAGCGAGGGTCTCATCCCTAGTCGATGATAGAGCTTGGGAGGAGGTTCTTTGGGCTTGTAGACGTTGCTGAAGTTGACAATGAGTCACTTAGGATGAATGTACGACTAGTCGAAGTTGTAGGCATCGCTGAAGTAATTAATTGGCATGCCACTCGAGTTGAAGGTGATGGCGGGACGAAGTCGAGGTCATTGCCAAAGGTGGTGTTGTGGGTTGAAGTTGTAGTTAATACCAATGCTAAGGGATAGTTGAAGTCATTCCTGAAGCAATAGGTGAGCTCCCGAGTCGAAGGTGATGACGGAGGTGAAGGATTCAATGACAATGCCAACACTACTGGCAAAACCCTCAAGCCAAACAAGACAACAAGGTGTAGTGGTTCGTGGCGCCAAAGCTAACGTGAGTCCTCGAGTCTAGCGAGGCTACGAAACGGAGGTGTAGTTGGCACCAAAACTGGCAATGAACCCTCAACCAAGCCTGATGGCGCATCAAGCCCTTAGACCGAAGGAATGGCAAGGTGAAGCTGAAATCGATGTCGATGCTAATGGCAAGCTCCTGAGCTTAAGGAATGATGAGATGATGCTCAAGTCGGTGCCGACGCTGTAGCCTGTAGGCATGCCCCCGAGCCAAAGGTTTGGCAGGGTAAAGCTGAAGTCATTGCTAGTGTTGACGACAAGCCGCCAAGCTAAAGTTATCGCGCGGCGAAGCTGATGTTGATGTTGACGCCACCGGAGAGCGCCCCCCAAGTCAAAGGTTCGTCATAGTGAAGCTAAAGTCAATGTCGATGCTGACGGTATGCCCCTAGCCGAAGGTACAATGGGGCAAAACTGAAGTCGACGTAGATGCTATGAGAGAGCCCTAACTAGTTTTGAACATCTCCTAATGCTCCCATTGTGATTTAGCTAAGCACAAATATATTGCTACCCATTAGCGGTCTCGTAGGTAGTCTAATGCAAAGTCATGTAAGAATTTTGATAACATGGAGAGATAAGCGAGGTGAGAGAAAGAGGTAGTTGTTTTGCTAAACAACCATCTATTAAGCTAAGGTTTATGTTACATGAGTTATGATTGCCATGCAACTCATAATGTTCCTTTTATTCTGTGTACAAATTAAGAAATTGTGAGTTCCTAGGAGATCGCTTAAAAGAACAACTCACTATATAAGTTGTCTATCAGCCTGTTCGGGAGGCCGTATCGTATCGTGGATTATTTACTGTTGGCTAGTTTGCTGTGAGAGAAAAACACTGTTCCTGGCTGGAAATTTACGATCGTTTACGAGCAAGCGAACATGCTGTATTATGGTAACTCATGATTACGTGGAACTAAAAGGTGGTGACAGACTCTAGCGTATGGCTCCCAAACATGAAAAGCATTGTGATGAATCAAACGATACTATAGTGAAAAACAAACTATAGAACCATAATAGAAAAGCAAGATCATCTCGAATTGTAGCTATAAAAGAGAGCTAAGGAACTGGATAAAGATTTAAAAAGTGGTTTTTATTGCTAATAGAGCTAACAAGGTTGAGATTGAAGACTACTTGATTTAGTCTCAACTAAAATTGCAGTCACAAGATATAATAGGAAAATAGTTAGAGACAAAAAAAAAAGATAACAACAACTCTAAGTCAGAGTTGGCTCACATTCCCACACATTCCCAAGAACTGAAAATACTAACTTCTTATGGCTTCATCTCCGTTTTATTGAGAAGTTGTTTTACTAAACATTTATCGAAAATAGTTTAAGCTCCATCGATGAAATTGCTCATGGAATTGAAGCTAAAAAAACTGCTTTCAATAGTGACAGAGAGTTGTACCAAACGGACCTGGAGGCGCATCGGGATAAAACAATTATCAAATAAATAAATGAAACTATTTATAAAAAAGATATCCGAGTCCGAATTTATAATAAGCAAACTAGACCTGCGCTATAATAAAATAATGAAACTATTTGCTGGACCCGAAACTTGTAACAAACGATATTTAAGTGCGCAACTCATGCAAAGAGCCAAAATATAGTTTACTTTTAATAAAAAACACATAAAACAACTTTATTATTCCACCAATCCACCCTCATTTGAACCAACAAAAAAAAATCGAGAAAAGCAGGAAAAAACTCCATGAACTTAAACTCAATAATTAATATACTTTAATCAACGACCATATACTACCAATAATCGCAATTCAGTCACTTATATGTAGAACCCGTTTTTATTAGTTGATCCATCCTTTGATTCAATTTTTCAACATAAAAAATGCTAGTAAATGATGATCAAGCGAGGTATTGGAGGAGATGGTTGTAGCCACCGTATTGATCCTCTGCAACTGCCACTGCGACGCCCGGCGCCGCCTGCCCGTCGATGATGCCATCGAGCTTCACGTCCACGCCGTCGAGCTTGACGTCGACGATGCCGCCGCCGCTCATCCCCATCCCCACCGGCGGCGCCGCCGACGACCACACGCCGTACGGCTCCCGCGTCACCTCCAGCAGCGAGTCCCTCACCCTGTCCGCCTGCACCGCCACTTCGCTGTCCCGCCTCTGCCAGCGCCACAAAAAAAGAGAGAAAAAATGAGCACGTGCTGCTACGAATTGCGTTGCATGCATCAATGGCGCGGCGGTGTCATTGTACGTACGGCGGCGCGGAAGACGTTGAGGACGAGGCTCTCGTGGGAGGTGACGTTGACGTTGGTCACCTCCAGTCCCATCGCGGCGATGGAGTCCATGATCTGGACGAAGCGGCCAGGCTTGCGCTCGCACAGCATCTGCAGGAAGTACTCATTGGCATCCACCTGCCGCACCTCCACCTGCGGCTCCATGTCGTGGCCGTTCTCCTCCTCCGCCGCCTGCACCGCCGCACGGGCCCTCTTGTGGCCGTTCTCCTCCGCCGCCGCCTGCACCGCCGCACGGGCCCTCTTGCTCCCGGCGAGCGGCTGCTGGTGGCTCGTGCGCGGCGAGTCGTCGTTCTCCAGCCCCACCAGGCTCGCCGGCGGCGGGTGGTCCAGGAGCACGTCGGGGGCGCCGCCGCCGGCGCCGTCCGCTGGGTCCTCTAGCTCGTCCTGCATCGCCTTCACCTGGTTCTGCAGGCCCACGATGTAGTCGATGGCGTCGCCGAGGATCGACGCGCGGTCCATCTGCAGGATATATCATTCATTCATCCATCAGAGAAGCAAGAAAGCAAAGCGTTCGATGGATGGCAACGACGGACCGACCTTGGAGATGTTGGGGACGAGCGACCTGAGCTTGTAGAGCCGCTCGTTGAGCTTCTTCCTCCGTCTCCGCTCCGCCACGAGGTTCTTGCACTGCTGCCGCTTCCCGCCGCCCTTCCCTCCTCCGCCACGGCCCTGCGCGTCGCCGTCGCCGTCGCCGTCCCCGTCCCCGTCGTCCTCGGGGTCCACCTGCATGTCACTGCCCTCGGACCCCGAGTCCGCGCCGTGCGGCTGCGTCTCCTGCTGCACCGTCGCCAGCTCGCTCCCAGCAGCCGCCGCCGCGTACTGCCACCCGGAGTCGTCTACCGCACCACCACCGGCGCCCGGCGCCTGCTGCACCACCGCCTGGAACGGGTCCGCCGCGACGCTGCCGGCGGCGTCGAACAGGCCGAGCGACGGCTGCACCGCGCCGCCGTACATCCCGCGCGACGCGTCCGCGGCGCCGTCCCACGCGAATCCCGGTGGCCACGCGTGCACGCCGGCGCCCTCGCCCCCATCTCCGGCGCCCGGCACCCCGCACTGCGCCATCACCAGCTCCGCCATCTGTTCCTCCTCCGCCATCTGCGCGCGCACGCCCGCACGCCGCGGCGGCATATACATATAAAGAGGAGAGCGTCAGGTCAGGTGTGTCATGTCATGTCATGTGTTTGTGTGCGCATGGCATGCAAATGCAAAGGCCGTGGCTGTTGCGTGCGGTTCACCGCCACATCTTCGCCGGGGCGGCGGCGCTGGCAGCTGGGTCACGCGGAAGCCGTGCGCTCCTGGTTCTGGCAGCTCTCGGGCTAACTACCCGTGGCCCGCCTAACAGAAACCGATCCCCCGCCAAACTGATCTTGAATTTTTCTGATGTGATGGCGGCAAACAGAAAAAAAAGAAAAACCGGTGCAGACTCAGCCGTGGCTTTTACGTACGTATCTCGCCGCGAAGAGCTCGACGAGGCCGCCGGCGATCGGCACCAGCAGCCGCGTCCTCGGGTCGCCTCCGGATCCGGGCTCCTGCACCATGTCATGGATACAAGATGATGATCAGAGAGACAGCAGTGGAGGGAGGTTGAAGATGACAAGAGCTGATGTGCTTTGCTTACACTGGAGTAACTTGTTTGGAGCTCTGGCACGCGGTTGCTCTGCCAAATCGGCTGGTTGGACACCATGGCCTCGGCGTGCATTCTGACCGATCGATAGAACTGCAGGGATTAGAATTCGACCTGGCACGGCAGGCAATCGATGCCTCCCGAGTGACAGTGGAACTGATGGAGATTGTAATTGTATTACCCTGCAGATGAGGAGTCGAGCTGGATTGATGGAGGCAGGTCACCCAGTGCTGAAAGCTGTGCCTCGAACTCACTGCTGCAGCAGAACCCAGTCATCTCCAAGAACCTGCAAGGCGTTTGTACCAGAGCGAGACATGTCATCACACACATTCGCATGATTCTTATTTCTAAGCTCCAAAAGAAAAGTAAAAAAGAAGAAGAGAAGAAGCAAGGCAGATCAGTGATGCTAGCTAGCTACTCTTACCTCTGATCAGGAGACAGCCTCCAGTAGATGCAGTAGTCCCAGGCGTCGACGCCGACAAGAGGCCTCAACGCGGCCTCCACGCTGGTCCCGGCTCCATCGCCGGCGGCAGCCACGCACGGGTGACCTCCCCCTCCCATGGCGCTGGCCGACCGGTGAGCACCCGCGATCGCCTCACCCTAGGAGCCACTGGAGGACTGTGGCTGCTGCAGCCTGCATATCGAAGCAAGAAGAAGCAGCCATGAAAATGAAAGCGTCAGCAGAGTGCATGCGCGAGGGAGGGTCGCTAGCTTCCGTGCTGTGTTCAGGAATCAGGATGGGATTGGTTGATGTCATGGGTGTGGTGTGGAAAAAAAGGCTGCAAGAAAAGAACTTGAGGCAGGCTATGGATAATTCACGGCACGCAAGGGTACAATCTGACCTGTTCATGTGCTGCTCTCTCGGAGTCATGTATCACTCAATGTTACTCTACATCTATATATGATCACAGGCAAAATCATGCTTCGAAACTGTAAATAAAAACTAGCATGATGGTCATCTGACCTCCCAGTTCTGAACTTTCTGAACTGAAGGAGTCTACAAGTAACTGTAACCTTTGTGCACAAGCATTTCTGAACATTCTGACGATGATGATACCAAGAGTCATTCCTAGGTATAATCTGTGAGAATAAGCAGAGGGAAACATAAAGCTACCTTTCTGGGTTCCTGGTGACCTCGCTCTGAACTCTGAAAGCGGTGACGAAACGCCACGGGGTAATGATTCAGCAGATGGGGGAGAAGTGAATCAGCTGAAAGCTATTGCTAACTGAAGAATCCTTTCTATTGCAGGACCAGTCCAGGACTGTTGCATTGCATCATGTGTGGCAGTGCTAGTACTATTATATATGCATGTATTACCAGGCCACAGGCGTTTCTTGTCTGAATAACCCCTCAGGCTCTTCCATCCATAAAAACAGATTTGTTCAGTGGAATCTTGGGGTTAGCAGAAAGCAAAACATGTTTTACTGATTAATACACATGTACTGTTGTGAAGGTGGTTGTGAGTAGGTCAGTCGCAAGAAAGGCGTGACCCTGTTTTTTTCTTCTCAATTTGCTTTTCCTAAACCTGTGGATCTTGGCTATATAGAAATTTCCACATTCTGGTGTCGATGACAGATAAGTTCCATGTCAGGACTCCATGCATCATAATTCATATCGTAATAAGGATTGCAACCATGCATGCACTTATGACGTAATAATTTGGTAAGTAAGACCAAAGTCAAACTATGTAATTTGGCTATAGAAATTTGCACATTCTGAATGAACTTTAAGTACTGCAAGCCTGAATCAACTGAACGAACGGGAAGTTCCTCTATGTCATAGACCATACAATTTTGCCAATTAGCTAGGTCGATGCGACATCATCACTTGCCATACAATTCATGAAGCAGCAATTAAAGTTCGCCTGGCCATAGTGGCAGTCTGCAGAGCACTTGCATATTTGAATCGCGCATGAAGCATTTGGCCGCTCAAAGAATGGCAGACTGCCGCTTACTGACGACTTTGGATCGTAGCTTTGGCATGCTGCCCAGCCAGCCTTGTGCTAAAGTATTTTTCTTAGCTAAGCCTGGTTCTTGTGTTTCTATTCTATTGTTGTTTTCAAGTTATATTAGTTGCTGCGATGCGTCGGGGCAAAAAAAAAAAAACATGCACACTGGTAAAGAATCCTGCTTCGACTATTGATTAATTAGACAGGTCTGGCCGATCAATTTTATTCCATCATAAATAGTAGTATTTTTTCCATAACTTTGATAATTTGTAATTTTTTGAAAAACGAAAATTGTATTTATTTTTGTTGACGGAGCGAGTACGTCATTAGTTTTCATCTGTAGTTCTGATAGACGGAGACAATCTCATGGTATGCGGTGGTCCAAGGCATATATGCTCCATGGTGTCAGTATTTTTTTTCCCACGAGCTGATAATACTACGAGTTTAGTACTAGCTTGCTATCATCTGGTTCAGCAAAAGCTGAACTATCATAAAAATAACATTTCATTAAAACATAGTCGAATGGAATCTTGTTTTATAAATTTAATTGCAAGAAATATTATCGTGCAAATAGGTCATAAAAATGATGAACTATTAAGAATCTATGGCCATTCAAAGTTTTGTAATCACAAAATGGGGAGAGATAAAATAGCCAATCGGAGTAGGAATTGTTTCTGAGTTGGTAACCGGATGTTCCACTGTTGACACATACATGCACTTCCTTTTATCTTCTCGCAAAAAAAAAATTGATTGCTTGCATGCGTCTGCTTTTCATCATATTCGCTGGTTGGTTTCTAGGGTGATAAACTCGACTGATGCTGGTTTGTTGTGAGAGAAAAACACTGTTTACTTGCTGATAAGCCCTAGCTAAAACCAACAAGCGAATATGCTGAAATGCGCGTGGTCCAATGATCCCAAAGTAGGCGGTGCCTGCGTGGGAAGAAGGCAGACAGAGCTGCCTCGCCATTTTGGTGGACGGGCAGCTACCACACCCTCGGTGGGCGGCGGCCCTCTATTTCATATGAATATATATATATTGTTCTATTTTTCAAGGGGCTTATTTTAGAATTAGGACCAAGTCCCCCAGATTTTGTTGGCACCACCCTAGAAGCTCTCTTCTAATCTCTCTGTTCTAAAAAAACAAATACAATTCTAGGTTTTGGACAAGTCAAACTTTTCTAAGTTCAACTAAGTTTTCATGAAAAAGATGTTAACATTTATGTGTCCAATTAGATTTACTAGCAAAATGTATTATATGACCAAATCTAGTAGTATTTATTAGGTATCATAAATATTTGTGATCTTTCTTTCATATATATTTGATCAAACTTGAAGTTATTTGACTCTATCAACAAAGCTACCTTTCTGGATTCCTTTACTGGTGACCTCTCTCTGAATTCTGAAAGCGGTGACCTGATGAAAAGATGATTCGGCAGAGGGGGAGAAGTGAATCTGCTGGAACTGAAAGTTATTTGCTAACTAAAGAATCGTTTCTATTGCAGGCCACTGTTGCATCATATATGTGTGGCAGTGCTAGTACTATACACATATATAGTTACCCAAAGGCCACATGCGTCTCCTGTGTGAATACAGATCTCTTCCATGCATAAAACAGATCTGTTCAGTGAAATCTTGGGGTTAACTGAAATGAAAGCAAAGCATGCTTTATTCATAAACAAGTATTGTTGTGAAGGTGGTGGTTATGACTTATGAGTAGGTCAGTTGCAAGAAAGGCGTCACTGTGGTGTATTTTTTCTAAATTTGCTTTTTACTAGTAGACATGCACGTGTGGCACTCATGTGTCTAAAGAAATTCTTTAAAATAGAACATGTAATAATAAATTTTCTATCAGTAATCTTTTGTACCATATTTTTTGAATTTATATTCAAATTTAGAATAATTACTTATTTATTGAAATGACAACAATATTAAAAATAAATATGGCATCACTTATTTTCTCTGGTAGTTGCATCCTTGGTGACATACATCAAGATTTTGCTCAACGGGATACAAACGTGACATAGACTCCGTTCGTGCTCTTTTAGCATGTGTTTGGTTCTGGGATGAAAAGGAATGGTTTGAACCTAACTCTGTTTTTAGGATGGGATGGACCCATTTCTTATTTGGATAGAGAGTTAGGTCCATCCCAAGTTTTTTGTTTGGTTAAAGTGTTGGGTTGGGAGGGGTAGGGCAGCTGACAAGCAGGTCCCCATGTCATTCTCTAACTCCTTCGTCCTTGCCCTCTTCTCTCTCCTATGGTTAGGTTGCTGCTGCTCTGCTCGCGTGGACGCCGTTGGTGCTCCTCCGCGTGGCCGCGGCTGCCCTTCCTCTTGGGCTTTGCTCGCCCCGCAGGTGCGTCCGCCGCCGGCCTCTGCTCGCTCGTGTCGGTGCGGTGGCCGCCGCTGCAGCTCCCTACTCGCGCCGGTACGTCCACCGCCTGCCTGCTCGCTGGTGCGTCCGCCGCCTGCCAGCCACCTTGCACAACCTAGCATGAGCATCTCTTAAAATATGAGCATCTTACTTGCGCAACGTTGACAGTCGATCAGACAATGTCAAACACTTAAAAATGGTCATAAAAGAAGATGCATAGAAACTGAGGCATATACTGAATGTGCAAGTGATGACACGGAAATCGTCGATCTATGATCAAATCTACACTAATAAGGTAAAATGAACTAATATGCAGGAAATATTAACTAAATCGAATTTGGGCCTCGTTTAGTTGCACCGATTCGGCCGACAAAAACACTGTAGCTATAGTGGCGTTTTGTTTTTATTTGGTAATAATTGTCCCATCGTTGACTAATTAGGCTCAAAACGTTCGTCTCGCAAAGTACAATCAAACTGTGCAATTAGTTTTTGATTTCGTCAACATTCGTACTCCATGCATGTACCGTAAGTTTGATGTGACGGAGAATCTTCTTTTTGCATAGTGCTAAAGTTGGGAATTTGGGGTAACTAAACACCCCCTTGGAAATAATTTTACTATTGAACTTCCATCACCTTGTTTTTTGAACAAAAATTATAGCTTCAGCACAAAACACAAAAACATAGAATTAAAGTGGTTAGTAAACCATTCTGATTCCTTTCTCCATGTATTAAAGTGGTTAGCCGTTCTGGAACAGTCCTTACTAGCACCAATGGGTAGCGCATAACTCCCAATATGCATATTTGGAGGTATATGGGAACCGCAATGCTTCGTTCTGAGAATGCTACTGCCCCCAATGATACGGACCAGATTTCAGCAGACCCGGCGTTGCACAATCAGTTCGCGTGCAAGGAAAGACGTTGTAAAGTAAAACGCCGCTCTCCCTCTGTACGTGCGGTAGGGGCAGACGTCGAAAAGACTATCCTCTTCTGCTGCATCAGTATTGACGATGAGGGCAGACGCGAAAGGCTCCCCCTGCTGCAGATTTGTAGCCACGGCAGGGGAGCAGACGCTAAAGTCAGCCCCTGCTTTGTCACATCTAGTCACCAGAAAAGATAACGACTCGGTGTTGACAACAAAAAAAATGTCTATTTTGTGAAGTTGTCAAAATGTGAAATGGACTTTACCATTGCGTTCCTCTCGTCGAGACGGTCAAAAAAACATATATAGAACGTCTAATTCGA